ATGGATTGGACGCTTGTCTTCTTCCAGCTCTTCTTGGCTATGGAAGCTTTGGCAGCATGTCTATACATACTGTCTATACGCAAATAAAAGCTTGGCGATCTTTGGCAAGTCAAAGTGCCTGTGCGAGATTAGACTGTAATTACTCGACTGCCAGCCATACCAGGCTCCAAAAATCAAATTAACTAATTAGATAGGATCCTTCCTGCATGTGGGATCACTGGTGAGCGTGGTTGGCATCTCAACAAGAAGGCACGTCAACGTTCACAGTTTCACTGGCCCACGAGCAGCAGCAGCTAGAGCCTCCGCGGCAGGAGCCTGCAACGCCATTGCCTTCGCAATTCAACGTGCATTTGTAGCCAACCGGGCAATGCTCACATTTCTGGTAGGCATCAATGACGCAAGCACAAGAAGAGCCACCAGATCCCCCTTTGTTGCAAGATCCTGAGTCAGCACCAGCCCAAACGCACAGCTCGGAGCAATCCAAAGCTGTGGCATTTGCCCGTAACTTAGGTGTTGCTGCTTTGGTGTCGGGAACCTGGCACTGCTTAGGGGACATCTTGAGCACCTTCTCAGGCGAGGCCAGACCACAAAACACCTGGATGAAAATCAGCACTTGCAAAAGGCACTGCATGGGCTGCAAAGGAATACAGCTACCAATTTCCCACAAAAGGGTTGTACTTCGCTAGTGCTTCACGCTGCTTTTGAGCCAAGAACTGCCACTGACTGCTTGAGCCATCAACCACCTCCTTCACTCCGGCTCATGGAAGGACATTGTTGAAACCAAAGCCAAGCTGCTTGCCCAAGGACTGAGACCTACCATGAGGTGGTTTTCAGGACCCGAATTGATGTCCATCCCCCGATCGCCCAAACAATCCAGCAGAATCTCTGCCAAACGGTCCCAGCGAAGAATCGTTGGGTTCCACTGTACACTCTTCCCACAGTCCCAACTTCGCATGGAACATGCCGTGGACCTCCGAACTTGATCCTCCGGCATCACACGTTTGTTGAAGGACCGTCTTCACGGACCGCCGGCGCGTCCGTCCCAAAACGCGTCTCACGCGTCTCACGCGGTCGGTCCACCCGTCCCGAGGCCTCGCAGCAAAGCACCGCACCACCCTCACAGCCTCGCGGAGCCCCCGGACCGAGAGGCTGGGGACCGTTGGGTGGAGAGTCACCGGACGTCACCGGACGTCACCCGGACGTCTCCGGCCTGAGCCCGGAGTCAGGCGCGGAGGGTTTGGGATGGTAAAGGGAACTCCAAGGAGTGAAGACGCACCGACTGTCCACAGTCTCGATCACTTCATGTGAACATGGTGTCATCGTGCTTCATCCCAGTAAGCTGAATCCAAGCCATATTTTATTCCAGTCACTATACCGATCCATTCTCGGGAGGCTGCTGTACATGCTGTACTCAAAAAGAACACGTACTGCGCGGTGCTGCGCCTGTGAAGAGATATCTGGCATCCAGGGTGAGCGTCATCGCAGTGATGCTGTGGGCCTTGGGAGTGGGGTTCTGGATGGTTCTGATCCCCATCGCTCACAGGTGGATTACTCACCAAGGCTGGGTGGCCAGGTGGCCGATCGATGTGTTTCTTTTTTTCATTTTTGGTCCCTCTCCTCATCCTCCTCTATATTCAAGTCTTGAGCAGGTGTTGAAGTTTGCAGGACTATGATGGACTTTCTTATGACCCCAAAAATGACTTCATCCGGACATCCGAGGCTCTGGCATGCAAAGAGATTTCCGTCAAAGCAGCAGATCCAACCTCGCTTTCGCTGAGAGAGGACGGAACGGCGCCGTTGTAGAACGGTCTCCCACAGCGATCGGGAATATGATTTTGAAGCTTGCGTCGTGAGACCTGTCGACCTGTCGGACCTGTCCAACATTCTCAGTCTCGGAATGAAGAGAAGCACCACCAAATTCAACGGCTCAGCTGGTAACACGGCTCCGAAGGTCATCCCAAAAGTGCACGTTTTTCAGGGCAGAAAGTTGGCGTCTCCTTTCCTGCAGGCGACCTCCAAGTCATAGTCCTTTTCCACACCTTCGACCACCTACTGGACACTCCAGTTCTCTACAAAAACCATGCACTTTCAACAATGCAGCCCCCCTTGCTTACGCAAGATAGAACTCAGGTAGCTGAAGCTACCGTAGGCGTGATTTTAGTGGTGTTGAGGGTCAAGAGACTTGGGAGGTCCCCCAAAAAGTGATTGAATGGCTGCGAGAAGCCTGGAAGGGCCAGCGGTAGATGCGCACACTGCCTCTGCAAAAGATTTGCAAATGATTATCAAAACGAAAAACAACAAAAACGGACCACAGAGATATCATATGGTGCTTGTGGTGCTGCTGCATTACTTAACATCTGTATGCCCTTTGTCAACTCGAGGATGTTGCACCTTGTCGTGTGCCAGCCAGCAGCAAGCCCAAAGCAGCAGCCTCGGTGGCACTGGGTCCTATCGGTGATGCAAATCTGTGTTGCCAGGAAGTGTGTGTAGGTCTGATACATTTGGATGCGTGTGGCACGTTTCCAATGTTAGAAACATGCTCAGAAGCCAACTGCTCCTGGATTTGGTGCCCCAAAGAACTCCCCGGATCGTCCGCGAGTCCGGTCAAACCCACTCTCTCTAAGGGCCAGGCAAGACATTGGCATGTGAAGGCGCTTTGCTTGTTCTCAGGTTGGATCTGGCAAATGGCACACAAACACAATATCCAGCAACTTATATATCCTATGATGTATCTCCTAAGATAGCACGCAGCTGTCAAGAGTCAGGGTGTTCATGAAGTGGGAGATGACACAATGTCTTGCATGTCATGGTTTTGACATCGAATCGATCAAATCTAGTGCTTCCAGGATTCCATACATCTTTTTCATCTTTCCCTCCAGCATATCAATCCATCCGCACCGGGGTTCCCCCCAAAAGGAATCGTGTTCTCTTCCCGATTCTCATGGCTTTCCCATGCTGCAGGACACCCAACAGGATGGTCCTGGATGGTCTCAGGTGTTTTGTTCGATCGAACATCATGACGGCCAGGGGATATCTGGCGGCCCAAGCTTTGGGGGCTCAAACTTCAGCTCAGAAGAAGCCGGACCAAGCCGAAGGATCGAACCATGGGGCGTCCACACCGAGCCATGTGTCACGCCACGGACATGTCCGGGCCGAATGGACTGGATGAACCTCGTACTGAGGCGAGCTCAGGTGCCCGATGACCTTGGGCGGTTTGAGGGCAAAACATGGGCAAACCGTGAACCATTATAAGACCCTCTAGAGAAGAACCTGTATATACAGGTTTGGATCCAATTTCTGGAGTTTGCAACTTCAAACAGCCTCACCCATGAACACTCTAGTGTACCCACATGCTGCTAGAATTCTCATCTGCTCCGGGGGGGGTTCTCATCAATCCACCTGGTCGGGCTGTGGGTCTCATCAATCCACCTGGCTCAGGCCACGAGACGCGTAAGTGGCCCTCGGGTTCGCGGCAGGCGACCACCAACCTCGGGCGCCCGGGCGACGAGGTCCGAGGTTGAGCGCGACCAGGTGACCAGGGTCACCGGGGTCGCCAATGGAAGGGAGGAAGAACGATTCTTGAAATGGCTTGGATGTCAAAGAAACTGAATCGGATTTGGTACTATAGAAAAGAAGACTTGTTTCCCTTTGGTGTTTTTTTTCTCCAAACAATTTAAACTGGTCGCCAGTGTAGTCGTTCTGCGTCATAGAAAGGTAAGCCAGTCCCGCCCACCCAATGTCCCAAATGGTCACCAAATGTACCTGAAGGCTCGCTCCCGGCCATCGCGACGGAAGGGGCCGGGCCGAAGAGACGGAGACGGCGACTGCCGGGAACGGTATAGGGCCGATACCGCCGTGTGCTCCCTGACATTTGCCGACCAGCTCCTGAAGGAGTGATGTTAGTTAGAATTATGCAACTCCTGCTGCGAAAGAAGAGAACATCCAATATCCACATGAAAAAACATATGTTCGTTCTTTCTTTCCATCTGTTCCAACAACGCAGTCTTCGACTTCTAATCCATCTCTGACGCCAGCTATGACACCAGCTATCAACCGTCCAGATTTCTCACATCCCCTTCGAACGATCACATTCTAGGTCCACGGACCCTTGACGCGCGTCGAAGCTGAAATCTGTGTAGGTCGAGTGCTTACAAACCTGGAGAGACAACGCCAGTGGTTTCGGTGATTGCACGACTGAAAAACGAGGTGATGCTCTTCAGCCAGATTAGAAACCAAATAAGAACTGTCTCGAATCAAAAGCCTTGGGTCTCGAATCTAGAATCCAAACGTACGTCCGGAAGTCAAACGAGTGGTCCTGTTTGTCCTACAGCTCTAGACCGTGCAGTGGGATACGTCCCACTGCGTGCAGTGGGATAAGGAAACACAACACCACAACGTCTGGTGGAATTACTATCAAACAGGTTCACCTGAAAATTAAACACCCATTCTTGTCCTCACCATGTATTAGTTGTTGAAATCTGACCAGGCAAATGCACTTTTGGAGGAGCAAGTTCAACCATTGTATAAATCACTGGACTCGAAGATCGCTCCTCTGGCTTCTGCTAACAGCTGAAAGAACTTTCAACCCCGAGGGCTCATAACCGGCAGAACAAACCTGAGACCTTCCAGTTGACATCCAGTGCCATCAAGTTCACCACCCAAACCCTTAAACATCCTTCAACCATCTGAAACCCTAGCACCATCTAGCACCACCCTTCACCACCCAACCTGAAAAACGGCCAGTCCGGCACCCAGCCGTTGAACAACTCGATCTTCGGAGCGCCCTGGGCTCCCCGGACATGTTCAAAGCATCGTTCCCTCGCCGGCGTGGACAAATCCCAGCCGTAGATCGCCCCGTGTGGCGCGGTCCCGCTCGAGAGCAGCCAGCGGTCGTCCTGTTCGGAGCGATCGGTCGGTTCGGTGTGGCTGGCCCCAGGCTAGGAAGTTCGGGGCTAGGAAGGCATCAAAAGGAAGTTAGATATATCTCTATACCAGGAGTCACAAAACGGGGTGCTGAACGAACGGAGGAAGTCGGGGTTCTGAACTGATCGACTCACTGGATGGGGCTAAAGACCCACCCCAACATGTGACTCCTGGTAGCAATCCATGGGGCTGGAGAATTGACCTACATTGAGCCCTTTTCAACCGACCCCCAGGTAGGTCAATATGCCAGTCCCATGGATTGCTAGGGACCGTTCTTGGGATTCCAAGCGCCATCGCAGAACGCCATCGAACGCCACACAGTCAACCAAATGACGGCGTGTGCTCTTCGCGCTCCTCCGAAAAGAGCACCCGGTTCACCGGAGAGACGTGCCCACCGCCACGCCCACTGAACCTCGGTTCAAGGCGGCGGGACATGAGGGCACCGGGCAGTCCATGGTTGCCCAAGATGCTCCGGTCACAGCCTGACCGGTAGCTCAAAACCAGGAATTGCTTCGACCCGTGTCCGATCTCTTCATAGCAGCTTGTGGGTGGTCAAACTTTTGTGTGCATTTCTAAGGATACATGAATTCAAAAGAACGTCCTGGCCAAGTCATCACAATATCCCACAAAGCATACCACACGTATCATGGATGATGGTGGTTATCCAACATGAACTCTTGTTGCAAACAAAACATCATAAAACAACAAGCACAACAACCACCCCCTCTCCAACACCAGTCCCTAGCCATCCCCACCCCCTCCTCCTGCACCCACCACCGCTTGATCGATTCGACTCCCAAGGCCCTCGGCAGGTGGATCACCACGGCCCTCCAGGGATCGATCAAGGCGACGTCGTTCTCCGAGGACACCGCCAACAAGCTCCTGCGGACCGGACACCGATCCGGGCGGCCGAGGACACCCACTGCGGTGAAAGCGAATCCGAGGACGAGTCGCGAGACGAAGACCAAGACAGGTCTCCCGAACTGGAACTGGAGTCCAGTCCGCGAAAGAAGTGGACTTTCACTAGGTAACTGACCGTCTTCCATCCCCCTCAGCAGCAGACCCGCCATTGGAGTAGGCCACGCCCCCGGGATTCTTCAGTGGCAAATCCTGAGACCGTGAACTTGCTGATCGCTGAAGACAGGCAGGCGCGATCAGTTACGACATGGTTGGTTTAACATGAATGCTGAAGTTCACATGACTATGGTTATGATCTTGTATACACCGACTTAGCTCGCAAAAAGGATGACTTTGATGACGTGGTCTTTTGCCTTTCCCTACTTTTTTCTATCCCACCAGGTTACACCGTGGTTCGAAGCTATGAAGGCCCTGTACTTGACCAGCCTTTGCTTTTTAACATCATCTCTCTTGCTGGGACTGCCGGGCTTCAGCATGGGACCATAGATCTGGACTTGGTGCAATTTTCCCTGATGTGTATGATCAATGATCTCTCATGTCTCTTTGTAAATGTTTGTTTACCCGGACCACATAGCCACCGCTATTAGGTTGGAGGCCATATAGTCCAGTCCTATCGCTCCACACTGAGGACATTGCGAACTGCGTTCTAGTAGCTTGTATCGGCCTCAGGATGTGTCGGACACCGAGCGTGAGGGATGTCCACGTTGATGTGACTCAACACCTTGTGAACTCCTTGCTCAAATGAAAGCTGTTTCTTTCTCTGAAGCCGAAGGTGTAGCCTGATTCTATTTCAATATAGAATCCCAACACACAAAAATCATCACAATCAATCAATGGACAACATATCATCGGTCAGAATCGGTCACCACTCCTAGCCAGGACCTGAAATGTATATAGCTTCTACAGTACAGTATCTATCCATGTTTCTATCAATTATGCATATTTATGCTAATACCATGCTAAATATACCATGCTAATAGCGACTGTTGCTGACTCATCAAAACGTGTTCGACCCAGCTTGACCCTTCATTGCCCTTGACTGTCGTGACATGTCGTGACATCTGAGATTCTCACGTCAAATGATAGATGCGGACGATGTCCTCACCCAGTCGTCCCGTCACCGATCCGCTGTCGGTTCGGAACGCCCAGGCGTCTGGTTTCGGTTCGGAACACCACGTGGCTGGTGCCAGAGTTCGGCCTCCCAGCCCTCCCAGCCATTAAAATAGGTTCCCACATCATCCCACATCCCATGTCTCTATTCGAAGTCGATGTACTCCACTCCACTCTTCTTCTTCCGTCGATCCGTGGAGTCCTCCAGGATGGCTGCGATCTGAAAGCCCAGCGGATGCCTCCGCTTCGTCCGCTCCGTGCGGGCGGAATCGGTTCTGCCGGTGAGGGTCTTGCGACTCTGACGGTTGAATTCACAAAACAAGATGTTCCAAAAATCGCCGCCACGTACACCTGAACTTTGATTTTGATTGGATCTTGCTTTGGTTTTGTCAAGACTTGTAATTAACTTCCCACGACTTCATGGACGTGATTGGGGTTCTGTTGGTTAATGCACTGCTGTACACCTGGCCCGCGAGCGTGTTTTGTTCTTTATAAGGCTTGTGCTTGGATCGGGCTGTCCAAGCATCAGGCCCATACAAAAAGAGGACTACCTGATGTAAAGTAGCTGTGAGTCTCTGCCATGATTAAACTGCCACAACTGGCATCATTCAACTCAACCCTTGGTGGGGAAGCACAGATTGACTCTGCAAAGAGGGATGATAATTCTGATATTTGTTGGTCCTGTCGATCGATTGGATGCGAGATAGATAGTGCAGCTTTGATTTAAATTTTGAAGCTTTTGAAGCTTCATTGTAGGTTCGATGTTAATCCCTGCGTGGCGTTCCAAGAGCTGTTGAGGTCACCCAATGCAAAAGCGCCAGTCGAGGTACACTGCTAGCGCACTGGCACACTCGTAGCTGGAGACCTGTGTGAAGCTGGAGGATGCTGGAGGCATCTGACTGAAGACGCAGCACTAATTACCTTCCCTCAAAAAAGAACTATAAATTATGTAAAAGAACCAGACGCGTCTTACAAACAATGTCTTGCTATCCAAGCCATTTCATGCAGACAAAGACTTGAACATCCATCATGCCGATGGAACTCTAGCGAAAACATGCACCGCCCTAGAAGAACTGCTGCACCACCCTAGAAAAACAAACACCTAGTGAACTAGTATTTTGTTGCCAAGAATCGGCCTTTCGATCCGTTTGGTACCCATTCGGAGCGCCAAAAAAGCCATACCTCTGGTATCTCGGGTGTGTTGGCCACTGAGACCGCTGTGTCCGTCGGCCATCGGTCAACCTGCAGACTGAGCTCCGCCGAGAAGGGCAAAGACATCGCCTGAGTGAGGGGTGTTTAAACATGCAAACCAAAACATTGCCAGGTCAAGGCGTCACAACGCGTGTCGACAGGCCATGACAGGTCAAGGCTAAGGGAACTACTAACTGCTTCTTGGCCATCACGGAGTGAACGGATGGGTGGAAAAGCCATGTGCAGCCCCTACTGTTTGCTTTAAGTGTTTTGATTGTTTTTGATACCATCCAGGACAACAACGGACAAGACATGAGTAGAAAAGCATGGTAGAATAGCATCAAACTCTCGACTCCAATGTCTGATTCTGTGGATCAACAGCAAGCTACGCAGCTACTCTCTTTCATTGACTCTATAGTCTATAGTATAGCTTCAAAAAAACACTTCAGAAACTACGGGTGTCGCCCATTGTCGCCCCTTCCCCTATGTCTTTCTTCTTTCCCTCCCATTGCCTCCTCCCCATCCAATGCCCACCGGTGCGAGAGCCGCTGAAGCCCACACCTGCGCTTCTTGTTCCTCTGTCGGGAAGCTCCACAACTTCAAGCTCCGATCCTGACGGCGCAGGAGAACGGGCACAACGTGGATGTTGGGCTATCTACGTCCCAAGCTGTGGACGCAGCAAGTAGCATGCTTTCAGGGAGCATCTCCTGACAGCTAAATGCAGGTGGAATTCCTGATAAGTACGACTGTTACCAGTACCTTAGGCACCTTTATTGTGCTTTGCTCTCTAAACCAGTGGTGGAGTTCGGCGCATGTGGGGTCTCTTTCATGTCAGCCAACAGACCACAAACCACAGAGCATCGGTCCACTCACAACTCAATCCGAATGGGGTGAGAAAGAAAAGAAGAACACAGCTATCACCTTTTGGTCCACTCACAACCCTAGACCATCCATGGGACTGGCCTATTGACCTACATTGTGGTGGGTTGGTTGGTTTCAGGGGTCAGGCGTATCTTCCAGTTTCAAGTGCGGTCTGGAACTCTTTCAGCCACACAGGCGACCGTCGCCTCCGCACAGCTGGCGACCATCCGGCGACCTGGTGTGTTTTGGCGAGGCGGAACCGCAGCTGCTTTGAGGCACATTGGAAGGGCTCCCCAGGATTCATGTTGAGATGCGCGATTGGCCCAGAGAGAGGTCGAATGATAAGCTAGTTCTATGGGTTCTCGGAAGACTCGATGTTTGGTCTAAAGAACTTGTTTCAAAGGCGAGCAAGACGCATTCAACACATTCGAATGCCAACAAATGTTGGCAACTCATCCAGTACCACACAGGTTCGGGACCGAGCGCCCCGGCTAAAGGCCGGCTTCAGGGAGGTCACCGAACCGTGGTGCGCTCCAAAGCGGAAGACCGGCGTGAATACTTCCAACCTGTTCGTCGTTGATGTGTGGGTTTTGTGTGTTTGGAGGTGTCGGTTAGCCGTTTTTTCTGTGTTTTTTCGTACTTTAACTTTTGGAGTCGGTTTCTCGGTTGTTGTGACTCGGCTGTTATTGGATGATTTGGCAACACTATGGAGCCGACTTCGTCACGGACTTCACGGTCGAAGCCGATCTTGTGTAGGATGTTCTTCGCTCCATCAGGCGAGTAGTGTTGTGTTCGGATCGAGTAGTTCTGTGTCGTTTGGGTGGGTATCCACAAGCAGGCCCCTTGGCCTCTAATGGCCCAGTTGGACCTCGGACCACTTGGATCCTGCCAACAAATCCAGTGGCATCAGGATGATTGGAGCCCCCATCCGAGACGGCGCCGGCTCAAGGCCCAACTCTGAGGAGGCAGCTGGCCGGTACCAACTAAGTCTGCCTGCGCCATTGGAAACCTGAGACCAATGGGACCACACGAGATCTGCAAAGCGACGGCACGTGCAACCAGAAGATCTACAGGTATTATGGGTATGGTATTGCGCATCTGGGTCCCGGGTGTTGCTTTAGACAAAGCTTTTCCTGGACTCCAGAACCCCCAAAAATCGAGGAGTTTGCGTCAAAACCACTGTGTTGTCGGACGTCTTGCAACTGGAAGTCACTGGGACAGCTGGACAGCCAACGACAGCTTGCTCTTGACAGCTTACAATTGCAATTGGTCCCCACCTCGTTCCCTGTTGAGTTCTAACATGTTGCTTGTCCTAGCATGTGTTTCCCTGTCGACCACTTTCTTGATCCGTCCCGCTCCTCTCTAACTGGCCTCAACACCATTCCTATCACGCAAATGCCAAAACAATCTTTGCACATCAGGCCACCCCAGGGATACTCAGAACAAACGATCTGATCAACCATTCTTGTCCCCAGTTCATCGCCCCAACCTCGAGTCCCTCACGTGTGCAGTGACCACTTGGCACCCATGGGCCGCATCCGCCCCCCGGTGTTGGCCGAAGAAGCGCGCGACCTCGGCGCAACGTGGGACGGGCGTGGAGCTGGGCGGAACGACCATGGTTTGGCTGCGAGTCCAGTTCACCGCTAGCGGTGCCTGTTGATCGAGGATCAAGTGGAGGCTTCATGGGGCAAGAATTGGGGAAGGGTTGGCTTCGCGAGGCTTTGCGGATACCAAGGCGGGCTACCTTTGCTGCCATTGACTGAGAGTAAATTTGTCTTTGCAAATTGGCTTCTCCTGTGTCAAATTGTGAAGCCACCATGCAATAAATATTGGGTAAATAAATATACTTAATAATGAATTATATATTACAATATAATTGTAAATGCCTTGGCAACCATTTGGCGAGTTCGAGTCTTATCCAAAGTCCATCATCTGTTCACTTGTGCTTTGTATGCATCCTTGTCCTCGAATACTAGGCTTATCCCGAACCTGACATCAGAGTTCGTTCCCCCATGTCCAATCAACCACAGACTACATTTCTGCCACTTTGAAACCGTTTTGAGAAGACATGAGAAGACTACAAGTGGATTTCCAGCACCTAGTTTGCACCTTGTAGATTACCTTTTGGAAAACAATCCCTTCCCTCACAATCACATGGCTCACACCGAGGCACCTTGTGGATTGCCTGGAGGCACTGTTCCCGCGGGATCGTGTACCGCTGCTGGCCATGGACTAGCGAGCGCGGCTCGCGAGGGCGGGAGAAGGCTCGATTGATCGTACCCACCGAGCCCAAGAAATGGTGTATGAACGCCCCCTGCCATCGCCTGCCATCCTGTGTCCTCTGTTTACGAAGAAAACAATAGAAAAGACCACCCAGTCCTGACTGAGTGAAAAGTGTGGAAGGGTATTATGGAAGAAGTTAAGTATGCGGGTATGACCATGTTCCTGTGGATTGTTGAATGTTCCATAGTTAACCAAACAGGATTGCAAAGTTTGATCGTGCTTGAGAATGTCCGTGTCACTGTCATTATTTTCCTTATTTTCTCGAAAGGCCCCCCTCCCTGGATTGGTTTACGTCACGCAAAGAATTCTCATCGAAGCCTCTGTCTCGTGCTCCTCGTAGGATAGGATCACCAGGCTGCTTTCCTCACAGCGAAGTGTCTGGCTGTCTGTTGTCCCAGCAGCCTTGTCTCCATGAACAAATGGGCAGCCGCCTGCAGTAGGTGCTCCCCAACAAACCCCAAGTGGCCCTCAAATGGAACATACATATCTCATCATATCCCCAATTCTGTAGCCTCTCCTTGGTCTCTTAAATGAGGATTTCAAGCTGGCGGTCTGAATGTCTCTTCCATTTTAAGTCCCTTTTCTCGCCCTATACTCGTCATGGGTCCTCGGTGCTGGTGCTCATATTCCACATCATTGCCTGGCAAAAAGCCAGCGAGAATGAAGCCCTGCGAGGCCGGGAGGCCCACTGGGAAATGGCCCATTCGGCTGCGCGGTGAGAAGGACACCAGATTTCCACGAAGTGTGGTCGTTGGTGCTCCATCGACTGTGACTCTTGTTTGAAGCACAACAAATGGTTCATGCTTTCGGATCACCGTCATCACACCCATATAGATCAAGAAAATGCTGATGGATCTATATAATGGAATCTACAGAGTGCTTTGCACCAAAATGATTGGAAAAAAGAATCAAGTTGATTTGGCATAATAGTTCATCAATGTTCATCATCATTGTTTTGTCGGGGCCTGCGCAGCGCCTCTCACTGCCACCCAAACTCACCCAAACATGGCAAAATACCTCACCCCGATGCCAAACCAACTAACCTGGAGGGTCCACAGGAACCGCTCTTGATCACCCGAAAGCCTTTCCCTGGTGCCCCCGCCGTGACCTTGGACACCCACGCATCCCCGCTCCGTCCGATTGGTAGGGGCGACGCCAACGGACGGCCCCGCTTTTCCGGTCCGAGCCGAGCTCGCTCGCTCCGCCTTCTCGCCGGGCATCCGGAAGGTGCCGACGGAGTCCACCTGGATCAACGGTAGCGTCCTTGCTCCGTTCGTAGCTTCTTGTTCCTACCGTAGGTGGACGAATTATTCAATCCCTTGCAGAATTCACCTCCCTACACCCCCCATGGTTCTATGTTGGCCTGTTGGTGGAGGAGGTTGGCTTGAGTGGACGAATCAAATCAAACCCCTGACAACAAAACATCTGTTCACTGAGACAACATTGACAACATTGAAATCAGGGGTGCGGGGGTGGTGATCTACCATGGTGGTTTAGGGTTTGATTAATTTGTCTATCTACTGTAGCAGTACGGCCAGGAGCCCCGTTCGTAGCGTCCTTGCTCGTAGCGACGCCAGGAGCCCCGTTCGTAGCTTCTTATGTGCGTTTCTTCAACCGGTGATCCTCCACCTCTCACCGTCGCCGCACCGCCAGTTCTCCCCAGACGTAGTAACAAGTGCATCGCTATTAGGAACAGCTTCATCGCTACTAGTAGCAAGAAGCTACTATAGTAGCATCTAGAACAGTATAGCTATTTCCTATAGTAATGCTCTTGCATAGTAGCGATGCACTTCTTACTTCACTCCCCAGCTTTCTCTATACTCCGCCTCACCCCTCAAGACCGCCCCTCGCCTGGGCTTTGGCATCGATGCGGAAGACCCCGAGGTATCCCTGGTCGCCACCCACCACGAAGCCTTGAAACCAAGCCTCGAAGCGTTTGAAACGCGACACGCGGAGGGAAACGCGGAGGTACGGCGGAAGGGAGGTATCATGTGGAGGTATCTGACTGGGGTTTTAGTTCATCTTGCCTTTGAATCTGAAGGCAGCTGGCAAGTCTGTCTGTTTCTTCTTCTGCGCGTGTGCGTTCGCTCATGGTGCTGCCGAATGGTAGCTGCAAACAAATCGACTTCGGCCTCAAACACTTACATGATTTGGACACAGACAGCTAAAGCTGCGTCCCGGAGCTTGGCCCAATCAGGCCACCCTTAAGGTTCTTGGACTTCCAGTGAGGTTAGCAAATCCACATCAATCCAGCTCCGAAACCTAGGATAAGTAAAAATCCCCAAAAAGAGCAGCCCAGCCAGCCAGCTCCAGCCAGCTCCAGGTGCACCTGGCTTCCCTTTTGCCATATTTTCACCACTCCCTTGAACAGAGTCACACTCAGTCAGGTCATCTCAGGTTGGTCAGGTCACCGTGATCGTGGTGATGCGCACCGGGGGCGCATCCGCCGTACCAGGCCCCGCCTGCGAAGCACAAAAGGCACAGAAAATGGCACATGGTGAACAGTGGGAAAATGGCACCACAAGAACTATAGACTGGTTGAAAGATGTTGGAGTGTTCAAGCATTTGTGTTTTCACAGGTTTTGGAATGTTTGGGATGTCATGATAGAGAATTCTTCACTCGTTGAGTCAATGTTAGATAGTTCATAGCCCTTTCCAACCTGCGATGATCGATCATGCTGTCCAATCACATTCCTTGGATCTATCCTATTGGCAGTAAAGGCCTTGTTCAAACAGTGATAATTGTTTACTGACAGGTAATAGGACAGACCCAACGACCTCCGAAAACACCCCAATTAGAGGATATACACGGAGTGTCTGGGTATCTGTATACTAGTATACACCATTGAGGCTGTCAAATTACCCCATGTTACATTATCCTATACCAGCAAGTGGCTAGGTATCCTCTCAAAAATTGTCTTCCATGAATCGTCTCCACACAACCCAAACATGACTGTTCGTGTCCCCCAAAATCGCCTGAACCATCTGAGAACGTGACAAGAGCTGCAAGCACAGAGATTTGGCAAATTCAAACAACAAATCTATATCCCAAACTCTCATTTAAAAAGGTTGAACACAACTCCCAAACTCTCTGGGCATTGTCGTTTTCGGATCCCTTCCGCGATCCGAGCGGATTCGATCCGCTTCGATCCGCTTCGTGGTCTTCTCCGCGCCCAGTGCGGTGCCGCTCGTGCGACGAGGCGGAAGCCGCCTCGCCCATGAGGTTCGCCAGCTGTCGAGCCTGTTCCTTTTCCACGGCCTTGGGCCCTGTGGATTCATCACTTTTGATCTGAGCCCGCACATCCACATCCTAAAGGGAGAGACGGAGATTCATGCTATGTCGTGACGAAAACGACGTGGTCGGCTCTGAAAGGAAAGGTCTGAAAGGTGGACCATGGACGTAGCAGAGAAGAAACTTGTATAATGCATCAGATGCGTCGTACGTATAATGAAAGGTCGACCTTTTCTTGTTGACGTTTAGCTGATGGTAGCCATATAATATAATATATAGCCCATCATAGCCTTAAAACCTGTGTGACATTTTTGCACTTGGAGCTGGACAGCAGTCGGATCTCTGTTCTTTAGTGCCCTAAAACCTGTTCAATGTTCTATACCACCTCATACCAAAGCAGCACCAAGACCAGCGTCCTGGACTAACTCGCCATCTTGAAAGATGTGGATGTGGCCATCCTCAGGATCAAAGCCGCTGGTTTATATGTCATGGATTGCAATGACTCCAGGGGAAGTGTCCCGAAAGATTCTGGTTCATGAGAATCAGGACACTGGGATTTTCAGCCGCCCGTGATGAATCATCGCAAGCCTTTTCAAAAAATACGCAAGCCTTCCCCTGGAAAAACGCAGTTCGTCCTGAACCTGCGGAAACCGCGGTTAGCCATGCCTTTGTTGCGGAAGATCCATGAGATTAGAGGCGAATTCTAAGAAATGTAGTGAAAGGTTCAGGGAGGGACCCAGATCGAAAGACTTCTGTGTTTCCAAAGAGTTTCAGTTCACAGACTTTGTAGCCTGGTTGCTGAGTCGCTTTTTGGTTGCAGGTCCACCTCCTGAGACCTTCAGAAAGCCGAGGGTAAGCCGCCGGTCAAAGCACGAGGTCCCGCCCTCACCTCGCTGGCGGCACACAGGAAGATGGACAATGCCCAGCAATGGTCCACGACCTGGCTGTCGACGAACAGAGATCGATCGAATTAGATTGGATGAGAATGAACACATCGGTGGACACCGCCCAGAAACGTAACACATGGATCTTCAGTTGGATTGAACAAAAAAAACAAAAAGGTGCTCTCTGCAAAAATCAAGGTTTTCTCGATGATGGCCCGCTTTTGCAGGTTCTAGCCAAGTGTCTATATGTCCCACGACTGCTCTATACTGCAGTATAAAGATTTGGTCATCAATAGTTTTGGCGGTTGCTCGCAGCATCGCAGATAGTCGGCATACACATCAAATTACGACATAGATCCGTATATCCTCAAACAAACAGAACACAGTCTTGCGATGCCACGGGAGACCGTGGCTGGAGATCGCCTTCATTTGCTTCTCCTGCTTCAACGGGAACAGCGACGGATTCTCAGTGAGTCCCTGGTCCTGGCGAGCTGGGCTTGAGAAAGCATCATTGGTTTCAGATGGTGGTCTTCCCCCCAAAAAAGCATTCTGCATGAAAGGAAGACAACTAATTCAAGTGCACATGCTTGATGATTGGGCACCATCTCAATAATCAATATATCTCAACCTTTCACGGCGTGTTGCTCTGCTCTCCCCTTCGAAGCAAGTTGGAGGGTCGCATCTCTTGTATCTTCAATGATCCAACGATGCAAGGCCTTTGCAGCCACTCAAGCCACTGGCTTAGCCAGTGGTTAGTCCCAGCGAGATCATATAGATAGAAGTCGCTTGTTGAAGCCACAGGAATCGTTCGATCTATGTGATAGGCGTTCTTTTCTGGACTCATCCTCATCCCTTCAAATTCCCTAGATCCGCCCACCAGGTCGTCGCTGGCTGGGTTTGGCACGTTGGGGTTGAAGTCCCAGAGGCGCAAATAAGCATGCCTCGCTGCGCGCTGACATGTGATCCATGACTCACGATGCTGGATGACTGTTTTGTGATGCAACTCTCAAACTGTTGCACTGGATTCCTTGCTTTGGAAAGTTGGTCGACGACCATGTGGTAATTACTGGTACTATCTCTAATTGTGAGTATAGGTCGTACCCGTTGGTGGAGTATAGCATGGATTACCATGGTATATAGAATATTGTATGACATCATTCATATGTTGGCGGGGAATGAGCCCTCCCAGGAGTCCTCCTCTGAGTCCTCCTCTGCTTTGAGTCCTCCTCTGCTTGGTTAATCCTTGACGATGTGCTCCTGCGAAATAGAATGAGCCCTCCGAAGCACAGCTTCTGCTGTCGGGCTAAGTGCCAGACCCTCCGACCGAGAATTGCGTGACATTGCTGGGGTTCACCAAGACGCGGTTCACCTGAAAGTCACAGAAGGTCGTGGCTCCCTTTCTGCTGGGTCGTTGCAGTACATTACCTGGAATCATCATGGGAATCATGGGCCAACGTGGAGAACGCAGAACGCCCCGAAAAGATGACCATTTTCCCTTGGTGAGCTCCACGTCCATGATTATTTTAAGGCGGGGAGTGTATCATCTTACACGGAACGAGCCTGTTGAAGGTTCTTCCGGTCGAGAGGCTTCTTCTTTCGTCTCGAAACCCTGCTAAACGGCTTCAACGCTTCCACTCTACTCTCTGCCGAAGTAGATTCTCACATGAGATTAGAGTAGAGATCTCATTTTGAAAGAAGGGATAAATTTATCTATACTCTCTTCTCCTATTCTCCGAACCATGAGATTTATCTCCTTTTGGTTTGAGTCTCTGCAAATCATAGTGAAAGCTGGACAATTGCAGCAGTCACAACACGCAACGACGGGTCATGACGATTATTTTTTTTCTCACAGGACGCACAAGCTAAGTGAGGATTGATTCTCAAGAACCCTAGGGCTCCAAGTACCTCCTCAGAAGCTACTTGGACCCTCCAAAAACCACCCCAAACGCCTTCTCAGAAGGTACTTGCAGCCCTAGGGATATTGCTGCACTTTGGACCCATGGAGGCGGTGAAGCGGTAGAGAGCAGTGTGTAGAGCCACCAGGCTCAAGAAATGTGACTCAAACAGGGTGGAGACAAAGAGACGATGTGTTTGAGCTGTGTTGTGGTCAACTGACGGTTGGAGAAAGCACTGTGGGTCATGGCCCCAACCCCCAAACCCTGCGGTTGCGCTGAACTCTGAGAGACTCTACACATCCCGAGATAAAGCACCAATTGATCACACTCTATGAAGCCCTGATCTGTAATTATCCCTTGCGTTCACTCCAAAATAGTGCAACAGTTTACTCTGTTCATCCCCATGGTTGCGCCAAAGATATATAGCTTTGGATCCATTCCCTGTCATTCTGAACCAACCGAGTCGGCGGCCATTCCGTGTGGCCAAGTCGGATGGCCATCACTCTGGGGTGCACGACGGGCGTTTGCATGTCATGTGAAGACATCAACTTCTCCACATCCCAGCGCCAAAAGGACACCTTGCCGTTGCAACATTCGCGTTGCCGACTGAAAAGTCTTCAGGGTGCTCAAGATTTTGTGATTTTTCCGCTGAGCCGCTGCAGAACAAAAGAGAACCACATGCAAAAGGTCCCAAAATGGATTTTGAATGATGTAGGCACGTTTCTCGAAAACAGGTGTTACACATTGATTTCACCATCCTCTTGGCAGAATTGACCTCTGTCTACCCCCTAACATAGCTTTGAGCTGTGCAAAGCTCTCTTCAGACCTCCTCCCTTGGCTTCTGAGCTTCCAGCTGTGGCATCGGGCATGCTGGAAACAGAGATGAGGTGTTTCCCATCACCCGTAAAGGCGAGGCCTGTGCAGTCGGTCGCTGGCTTTTGAACTGGGTTTCTTCAGGAAGTGTGCGAAGCATGCAAGACCGTCTTATAACTATTGGGTCTCTACTTGGGTCTGGAGAAACTTGACAAGAAGCTGTCGGGTTTCTTGAAACGAATGTCTTTTTTAGCCTGATGTATTTTTCTCCAAGCGCTGCGGAGCACCACAACACCGTGGAACCACGCGCCTATGATGTCCAACCTCTTGTTGCTGGGATGCAAGACTTTAAGCGTCTCATCCTTGAAATCCTGCGATGGCGGGAGCTAACAAGCTGAAAAAAGCCGCGCCAGCAGTTCATATAGCACTGAACCATCCTTCCCTCACACTGTCCAAGCATAACGCTGCATTTGGGAGCATGTTCCTCCAGTAAATGCCAAGTACCGCAGGAGTCGCCCCACCAAAAAACCACGTCTCGGAGTGGAAAAGGCCAGGCTTCACCGTGGCTTCGGCCCAACTCTTCTACGGGGGACCACTCCATGCCTTGGTCTCACCCAAGAGGTCTGCCTGACGGGTCACTCGAAGGGGGGTCGGCCGACCTCGGGGGTGGAAGATGGATGAACATGGAGAAGAGTGAACCCGGTTTGGGGATGCTTGGGGTGTCTGATAATAGCTCTCTGATGCAGGAGAGGTGATGAAGGTGTGACCGCCCCATCGACCGGGAGGCCCTGGGGATGGTGCATCATTCCTTCTCACATTTAGGGCTTCAATGCTTCAACGATTCCAGTCGGCTAACGCTTCAACATCTTCAACGCCTTTCTTCAGCCAAGCCGTGCCGACCCATTCCTCCCGCCTTCGACACGCCGACGACACTAATCTGCGCCGCCTGGCGGCCACCAAACACGGCGGTGAAGTGTCTAAGGGGGCTGCGGAAACCAGCAACATCGCGGCCTTCGCGCTGATGCGTTTTTTTTGCGCAACGTTTGAACGATCCTGTTCATGGATGAAGAGCTGGAAGAAGCAAAAAAGATACAAAAGTCAGACGACTTTGAAGCTCCTGGATATAAAAGCCAGGCGTCTTTCAGCCCAGCCCCAAGCGACACTCTTCGGACCCATCTGAGTGTGTGGCATGTTGGTTGGATCCATCTTCAGACCTGGTTGGCGATTTGGGAAGAGAAGACACTCATGTCATTGTGAACGTTAGGTTCGTAAAACATCGTAAAACCCCCCATGAAGAGCTTTTTAGAATCCAGTCATGGATGTACATGGTATACGTGTCTTTTGTTTGAATCAAGCGTCCGTCCACCCATTGCGCAGGTCGTCTGACCGCAAATGAAACACTCATTCTCACCACTGGCTCGGCCAGTCTTCCAACCTGCACCGCCGCCGGGTGAGGTCCCGACCCCACGCGCTCGCCAATCGCCAGAAACTTCCCATTGTGAGACCTCAGTGGAAGTCAGCGTCCGTCATCTTCAGTCGAAAAAGCTGAACTAAAGACCCAGATCTGTAGACTGAATGGATTTCTACTGGAATCCAGTCATTCAGGGTGAAGGGTTCGTGCGACACTCTGACAACAGCGGACATTGTGGACAAACCAAGCATCCGGCTTTGTCATAGCAGTAATGATACGATGCCTGCGGGTCATAGCAAATGAGATACTTCATGCATGTTAGCGAAATTGCGAGCACAGGCCCCTGCAACCACTGGACCAACTCGAGCTTTCGGTTCTCAAGTTGAACTGACTGAATTTCATGAAACATCATGAAATGCAATCCTGTTTCCCTTCAACGAGATGTTCTTGCACAGTTCTAGAAGTCTGGCTGTTCTTGGGAGGTGTCTCTCTCCCCGAACAGCAGGGGGCCGCCTGGCATCTCTGCCCAGGAAGGACAACCGCTGTCGGTGTTGGTGGCATAGCGCCACATGACGACCCACGCAGAAGGCGAAGGTGTCTTCACCCAAGGAGATCACCTGGTTCGATCGGATTTGAGCCAGAAGAGGTGAAGAAGTTTTGGAACATGTTCAGCACTAAGTATAATAAGTGGTGTACATCTATGTATATACCTATTACTCATGTTGCTATATGTTACAGTAATGCATGTATTACATCTTCTTCTGTCAAAAGAAACAACACGCGGTCTCCACGTCTCAGGGTGGATCGCAACCTTAGACAAGTGGTTTGTACAGGGGTGGCAAGTCCCTGACTCCTGCGTTCCTTGCCTGGTTGTTGAAAAGAACCCTCCAACTCACCAAATTTCAGTGCAACAATGGTCTTGGTGAGGTTGGCTCATCTACTCATCCACCCATCCATCCCATCTACCCACCCACTACGCCACTGGTGATCCACAGTGGAAAGCAAGGTGTACCCAATCTCCAAAATCCTGGAGCCTTATTCGTCAACCCCTTGGCTTCAGGAGCTCTGACTTCAGAGGCAAAACACATCCAACATCATCCAACCTTCCCTAAGAATATCTATACCAGTAGTTCCAAAGGGGTGCCGAGCTTGGAGGATAGGGGTGTCCATTATCTACTCACTGAATGTGACTCCATGTGACTCTTGAGGAGTTCTGATATGTTCTGATCCTTGCGTCCGAACCAAACCGAGCAAGCTGGGAGGCGGAAAGGCTTTGAGCTTCCAGGCCGCATCCTTGATGGGACTTGGGTAGACACCGAACCTCAGACGCCGTGAACCGCGGTTACGGCCCAGGCAGATCCTTCTCACCCAAGGAGAAGAACATGTTGCCTGACATGAGCCGAAGGTTAAAGGATGGGGTGGTGGAATCTCAATGCATCGGTGGTACCTTTCTGGTGCATTGGCAATCTTTGGGGCTGACCGATCGACTCTTCTCCTCAGCTTCCCAACGCATGCGCTAACCGCAGCTTCACATCCGTCTCCTTGGTGTTTGGGGTTTCAGCGGGTCGCAGGTGCAGGCCTACTTTGGGTAGGTGGATACGGGGCAAATTGGACAATTCCAGGACCCAAGGTGGCCCAAGTCATTACAAAAGAATCAAAAAAAGACCTTCACACATCGACTTTACTGACTTTGTTTCTACCACCAGTTTGTGGTTCTTTTTGAGTCACTTGAGGCCCAAGAGAGTTCCATCATGCTCCATCTCTCAGACCAATGACTGATTGCCTGCATTTAAACAATGCCCCGAATACTGGAGGGAGACAGGAAGACACGAGGTCTGAGATGGTCTGAGCTTCAGGCAGTTGCGCCTGACGATTTGCATTCACTAATTCACATGTCAGTTTCAGAGGGTGACCAGCCACTTGCCGACCCCACCAAGCTGTCCCTTGCAGTTCTAGAGCTATAGTGAAACATGACATGATGACATGGCTTGTCTTTTTTATGCTTCGCTGCATTTGTCGAAAATCCATCATGTCCATGCCGCGTTCGGTATGAACGAGCAAATTGCCTTGCGGAAGAAAGCTCACAGCTTTTGCTGTGAGGAGCATGGCAATCTTTCTGTGTTAAATCGGCCAACAAAGCAAATCAAGGCAAGCAATCTGAGTGTCAGGCGGGTAGAAACAAGCAAACCTGACTGTTCTTCACCAAACGAAGCACTGGTTTCTAAAGCAAACTGGCCAACATCATCGTACATATGATTGCTGCGTGTTTGAGAGGTAGCAAAGGTCCTTGTCCTCCTTCAAAACCAATATTCAAGCTACTTGACTCCAGCATATAATCAGATCTCAGATAACATATGCTGAATATAAAGAGCTCTCAGAATGTCTCAAAATTCAGATTCGGATCCACTCCTTCCTGATTCAGTCTCCATTTCACTGAGGTTCTCATCATCGGATTCCAGTCCCTCCACGAAGACTCCTGCCCACAGCTTCTTGAAGCGTACAAAGGGATCTTCCCTTCCTCGTCACGGCACGTGCTGACGGATGGAGAAGACGCAGTTTTTACGGAGAAAGGCTGTTGAACGTGGGTTGGCCTTCTTCGGAACCCGGGATCCCCATGCCAGGGGATTGATGCACTAAGGGAAAAGAGCTATCACCCTGAGCAAAAACTATAGGCGTTTCCACTTCTGGACAAGTGAAACTTTATCCGTTTGAGTGGTTTTGGTGGTAAATGTGTATACAAATGCCTACATTGACCCCCAAAGCCACCCCAATGTATATATATATATATGTCACATTTGGGACCTTGGAGCAAGTGGGATAGGTACACCGATCGAAATCCGCTGAAACCCAAGTGTCGGTAGATGCGAACGGGAGCCAAAAGGATTTGGATAGCAATCCAGAGAGCGAGCCCTCCAATGATGCCGTAGCCGATGGAAAAGGTGAAGGGCATGGTGACCATGGAGACAAAAGCTGGCATGGACTCCTGGACGCCGAACATGGACCATGGTCTCACTGATTTTTCTTCAGCGCAAGCTATACAAGTACTGCAAAACACTTACCCTTGAAGCAAGAACCAAGTTTTATTTGATTCTCAAAACCCATCTCCGCACCTTAATCAACCCATGAGCTGGCTGATTAAGTTGGTTTTCAGAGATTCCTTACCGCACGGAAGACCACTTAAAGAAAAAACATCTTAACTGCCCTCCTCCCAGCAAGACCCCGAAAAGAATCAACCCAAGTAGTTGTCTGAGCACAGAGATTGCACCCTTGTCGAACATCCACTTACAGGCTGGAGGAGCTTTAGATAGCACCTGTTGGAAGGTCGACTCCAAGGGATCTATGTTTGTCCCATGAAAATCCCGTTAGCCATCCGCGGTTTTATTAAAATAGTATAAACTAGTCATCCATATACTTGAACTAGCCTCTCAATATGTCCTTTTCTTCCTCACTTCTGGCCAAGGCCTTTCTTCTCCAGTCCCGCTCCAGTCCATCGATGGGGCGTCTGAACCCGAAGCTTCCGCCCTCCGCCCGACTCTCCGATGGGTGTCTTTCCGATGCGAGGATCTTCGGATCGTCACCACCCGTTGGGTCTTCGGATCTTCGGATTTCAGGCTCTTTCAGGGGACTCCAACACACACGCCATGTATACGATCCCCGTGCCCATGTCACGGGTCCACGATCACCGTGCCCATCCCCGTGGATTCCCACGTGGACCGTGGAGAGCGAGGGCTCCTCATAGTCATCCCAGTCGATGCCCCGCACTGAGCTGCACATCAAGGCCCCCAGCAAGCACAAAATGGGCCCCGACGCCAAGGGCGGCACCGCCGAAACCACCGGAGCGATGGGAATCGCCAGCAGGAAGCAAGCGCCGGTGACCTGCAGGTCCAGGAGCCCGAACAGACAACCCCCAAACAAGCAAGCAAGTGTTTGTCCAGTGTTTTGGGATAGTTACGGGAACATCCAAATACAGTAATAAATTAGTAATATTAGTATAGAGACGCAAAACACGAACGGTAATAACATGTAATAACAATGCTGCTAGTGTTCTCTACAAACATTGCAGGATTGCAGGGTTTCTTCTTCTCCAATTTGAAGGCTGTGTTCTTGGAAGGCATGATGAATATTTCCACAACCGGACTGCTTGGAATGGTGCCTTCGCGATCCATTTCTGACACAAACAAATCAAAAAAATAGAAAATCACCCGTCTGGAGTCTTGGGCTAACTTTCAGAACTTTCTGGTGGAAATAGATGAAATACCTCCACCACAACACAGTGTTTTTTGCTTGGGGGTTGACGACTGTTTTGCCCTTCCTAATCTCCAATCGCCCTCTCACATGTCCAAGAAGGAACAAAAACACGAGGGTCAAGGACGACAAACCTCATTTGGAACGTTTCAATATGATTCAACTGATTTCAACCCCTCCATTCCTGCTTCCTTCCCACTCCCTTCCATCCTCCCACTCTTCCATCCCCACCCCACCAGCGACGCGAGTCCCGTCTTGGCGCCGTCCGCCACGCCGGCGGTGGACTCCGCGAAGGTGGCCACGGTGGAGACGCCCAGCATGGAACCGATCAACGCAGCCAGGGCGTCCGCGAGGTACGCCATGTTCCTGGGACGAGACACATCGGTGGCAACGCGGGTTGCGCCCAGGTGAAGGGGTGAAGAGACAGTGAATACAAGAAATTAAAAGGAGGAACACTAGCTCTTGAAGACATGTCCAAAATTCTGTTTCAACTTGCAAGGCAACTCAAGTTCCATGCCGCATGTCCCACCACACGGATTCTGTCTCCAACCCTACTGTGGTCGCTAGAGCGGGGGTCAATCATGATCACTCCCCAAAAAACACAACCGGCTTTTCAAAACCAGGGAAGCTAGAGTTTCTACAGCAAATGTTAAGCAGCCACAGGAGACATGTGATTCTTTTGGAAAACCTTGGGCCGTGAACTTGGGAGTTTGTTTGGCAATCAGGTGTCTTTTGAAGTGCTGAGGATTTGATATATTTCTTGTTTTAAGTCATTTTTGTGGAGGAAGCTGAAGGGTTCAATGTGACAAGCCATTTCGGCACATTGTCTGTAAGGGGACATTCATTCTATCAATATATACACATTGCCCGGTAGCTAATTCTAGAAGAAACCAAACAATAATGTCGAGCCATGATTAATAACATACCCCTAAATGAAGCTAAACATACCCCCACAATAAAAACAAGATGGAACCCACGAACCCGAATGCACACACGTACTCAAAAACAAACGGCCAAACATTATTTAATTGACTCGCTTGTGGGACACTCTTGTGGAAAACTCTTGTGGGACACTCTCGTGCGACACTCTTGTGGGACACTCACACTTGTGGGACATTCTTGTAGGACACTCTTGCGGGACACTCTTGTGGGACACTCTTGTGGGACACTCTCGTAGGGCACTCTTGTAGGAGACACTCTTGTAGAACACTCTTGTGGGACACTCTTGTGGGACACTCTTGTGCGACACTCTCGCACGACACTCTTCTGGGACACTCACTCTTGTGGGACACTCAAAAAGACACTCTTGTAGGCGTCACTCTTGTGGGACACTCTTGTGGGAGCCAGTCTTGCAAGAAAACCTTGCGCCTGTCCCGAAAAAAGGCGATGTCATAATTCACTGCGCTTGCCAACAAATGTGTATACATCTTTACCACTTCGCGCCACCATTACACTGCGAAGTGTGAAAAAACGCATCGCAAGCAATGCACAAAGTACTGCGCCTGCCACAAAATATTGACTTCGACATCCCCCAAGTGCTGCGCCTGCCACAACCATGAATTTCATTTTGAGAGGACCTCGCGAAAGTATTGCGCCTGTCACACAAAACAACTGACGTGCCACGCCGCTGCATCACCTGTGACGGTGCACAATGACGTGCGACACCTGTGACCAAGTTCTGAGAAGGTCTCACGCGGACCGTTGCGCAACGTCGAGTGAACACCCCTGGACCCACAAATGAAACGGGAACCCGTGCTACGCATTCGGGAATCAAAGAAAAAAACACATTCCTCTTCTCTTCATCACTCGGAATCATGTGTTTTTTTCAAAATTCCATCTTCTTCTTATCACTTGGAATCACGTTGTGTCCCTTCTAAAAAACAGTTAAACAAACACCAAACCCGAAATAAAATGTACTCTAAATAAAGCCAAAGATGTTTGTTGGCTGGAACATAGAACATATATAGTTATCAAATAGGAAATGTAAGTTAACTAGCAGTATTTAATGGTGTGGCTTTTCGTTAGTTCCTGTCTTACAGTAGTTTGATTACTTATTGAATCCTGCCCTCTTCTTTTCATCACTTGGACGCACCAAAACCCAGAACCCGTTCGGTAAAAGTTCTTTCTAAGTTTCTTATTGAAAAACCCACCAACAATTGAGCAAGTTCACTCTGGGAAAGGTACCCCTCATGAAGCCACCATACCCTAAATAAAGCAAAAGATTCTTCCTGACAGAAAAACAACACACCATTAACTACACATTTCAGATTGTCGCCTAGCAGCGGGAGAGAGCTCTTTGCGTCAGAAGCGATCTGTTCTCAAACACATTCTTCTCATTACGCATTTCTTCTCCGTGTTGGAAAACAGTGCATCTCCGTGTTGTTTTTTGCTTTTTTGAGACACATGATACTTACTGTAGTAAACTTGCAGTACTCGTCCCTGGAAAGAAGTGCCAAAGACCAAAGATTTGTCATTTCAGCTTAAGTAACATGACAATCCCGAGAGTCTTTCTTTCAGATTTGCTGACTATGGTATTGACATTATTCGTATCCATGACTCTATGCTCCAAGAATGACTTAGAATGGTGATCGACTGGAAGTTCACACAGGTCATCCCAGACC